TTCATGTGTCTATCTACACAAAGACCTATTTGATTAAATATCTAGTTTATCTTTGAACACTTTTTTATTCCTATCTTCTTACTTACTGCGAGCATTTACAACGAACTGCTTTACTCCACTATATATTATCTCGCTTTATTTTCTTTTAACAATAATTTGAAAAAAGCCCTTAAAGCAAGTTCTTATATATAAATAAATGTCTGTCTATCTTTCTGCCATACTAATCATCATGAATCAAAACCCCAAAAATCTCATATTGAAGTGATACTCCAAAATCAAATAGTTATTTCAAAGTTGTCGTTTTTTGCCAATATAATCAGAAATCTGGTAGTACTTGTGCATAACAACATACTCCAAGTATTACTGTTCGATACTCGTATATCTGTTTTATTTCCAGGAAAGAAAATCATGTCGTAATTTTTGTCTCATTAATGAAAATAATTACTTTTATAGTATCAAGTGTAAGATGTTGTAGTTATTTTCTAAGTGCAAAACTACAGTGTTCGCCGTAGGGAATCAACCCAGGGATTTTAGCATTGCAAGTCCGTAAACTTGTCGTTGGCCAAACGGGGAACCAACTGTAACACCATTATTCCGAGCTAACGAAATATCAAATGTGTCATCATTTTAACATACACTTCCGCGTTTCCAGTTAATTAAAGGAAATCTCTTATCTATCATTTTTATTTATAAGTGATTTTATTTCAAACTCCCATAAGTTGAAATATGTATGTATATATTTATATTTAAATATATGTGTATGACAGTTTTAGAGACATCATACGTACGCCTACCTGGTATATGCTGCCATCTATTGGCCAGATGCGTATTTGTATTAAGCAAAGTAAAATTAAATTTCGGGTATTAATTGTTATAAATTTGAGTAAATCTTAAACCTCTCTAGCCCGGGAAAATTTTTGATTACGACTAATAGAAAGAAATAACAGATTTAAGAATTTTGATTTTTTTTTTACCTATCGAGACTCGATGGAAATAAATATAATTCATCCATCATTGTCACTGAAGTGTTGTAGTATTTGTGCTGCCAAATCCAATGACTTTCACCGTAATGTGCATGTGCGTGTGACGTAAAAACAAATCTAAGTGTTCAGTAGTCTAAAAGAATAAATAGTCCTGGTACTGTGCGAAAGGCTTCATCGCCATTGGATATGACAGATGTAGTGTTGTTGTTGACGCATTGTCTGTTATACATTCTTCTTTACTTTCACTCATAAATTCTTAGAATAGGCCTAGAACAATTTTAATGAAACGAGTCATATTTCTTTCACTGCTATTAGGTACATTGGACTATTCTGTGGACTAGTTTAAAATAAAGAAGAACAGGGATAGCATTTTAAACACAGTATTGCCAAGCTGGAGAGAATTTGGACTGAAGGGAATAGAATTCGAGAATTATTACAAGTGTAACCCGACATGTATTGTACCTGCAATGTTTTAACACACATGCTTGCAATAAATATAATAATATTAGAATACGCGAGTCAGAAAATATCATTATTTCTCTTTGTTCTGCTTTGTGTGCATTTATATACAAAGACAAGAGGTACGCCATTTTGTTTCTCGTTGCAGAATCCGATTGCCCCCCCCCCACACTTTATGAAGACAACATAAGAATCGTTGCCTCCAGAACAAACACGTTAAAATCAGTTTACATATGTTATTTAATACGTCACCTTTGCCTCGCGAAAAAATGTACCAATCTTTGTTGCGTCTTGACATGTCGATATTACAGTGTATATTATAGTAGTACTCCATGACTAAAAGTTGTAGTCGAACAATATTTTCGTGACTTTGGATTTTGGCAAAAGTTTAGTTATCTTAAAAGTAAACTTGAGAACGTTACAACAGTATATTTACACAACTCATATGGATACATGAATACGGCATATATGCATTCAAATATACATTTATAGTGTTTGTTTGTTTGTTGTTAAGCGCAAAGTTACGCAACTGGCTATCTGTGCTCTGTCCACCATGGATATCGAAACCCGGATTCTAGCGTTGTAAGTTTGCAGACATACTGCTGTGCCACTGGGGAGGAGAGGAGCGCTCATCATGGGTATCAAACTCGGTTTTTAGCATTATAAGCCTACAGGCTTGCTGCTGAGCCGCTGGAAGGCCAAATGTATATTGTAAGAGTTTATTCAGGTAATAGCTTATGCCTTTGAAGTATCTCACCTAAATACATAAGACACTTAGCATCTTTCATTTACAGTAGTGGTTTAAATGTTTAATATAAATATTTATATTTATATACTGTATTTATTTTTATTGTTTAAAATTTTTCATTGTGTATTTTTGCATCGTTAGCTTAGTATTCGGATTTAGGACTAACATGAATTTCCTAATATGGCCAAATTTCGTAATATATTATTCGGTTTAAATTTGAAAATATCGCTAACATCGAAGGTAATCAACTGGTGAAGCAATGCATTCCAATCATTATAAGTAAAAACGATATATTAAATTAAATATATCAATTACAGGGTTAAGTTTAAATTAAGCTAGTGATAATTTCTTTTATTTGCTGACTACATTGAAGTATCTCTAATACCTTTAATACTATCGCTAGATTTTGGTAAGCAATGCATGATTAAAATATCCATTTTTTTTCTGGTAATTTGTTCCTTTTCTCCCCGAGATGTTTTTAAGATTAAGAATGTCACGTGATGCACATATTTTCGGAGCTATTTGTTGGTTTGAGCTTAACATAATTTCTCTATTCATCTTTTTAGTAATTGGCTAAGAAACCGACTTGTCAAATGTGACAAATAGATTAGTATGTCAATCATCTGGTGATACTACACTTACTGTATGTAAGAAAGTCACTATTTTCAAAGTGGAACCCAGGCAAGGCTACAGAAAAAATAAATAATCGTTTTATAATGAGAATTAACTGGAAGCAAAAAAACAAAACAGAAATGACATTTTGGGCCTAAGCCATTCTTCAAAATATACTCGGACACATGGCATTGTAGCTTGCATTCCTGTATCAACCACCACTGATTTCTCCCATCATATGGTTTGGGGGTTTCTTCGTCACTGACAGTTTGGTTGGCCAAATGATGAACCAACTATTCTAATCATTATAAGTAAGAACCTTATAATAAATGAACTATATTTATTACTAGATAAGTTTTTATTCTGTTCTGTGGTTTGATCAGAAGTTAATAATATCATTTTAGTATTCAATATCAACTCTGCATCAATGTTTTTAAACGTATAACGAAAATGTGTTTTTAATATCCATTAAGTATGAATAATCTTGTGTATGCACATAAATGCAGAAATGCTAATCGAATCTGCCCAAGAGATCCGTTTCGAAGGAAACACAGAAGGAAGACTTAGTTTGCTAATGGAATCCGCCCAAGAGATCCGTTTCAAAGGAAACAAAGAAGACTATGAAAATTCTACATAAAGAAATAAAGTTATCATTTATTTTGAAATCACAAAAATATGGCTCTATCTGTCTGTCCTTATACATGTTTATGTGGAAGTATGTTACAAGACTATTTCATGAAGACATAAAAAATATTCTGTAGAACAAAATAAAAACAAATACTTTGCAAACTCTAGATCATAAAGTGAACCAAAATGCAAAGAGAAGTACTCTTTACACCAAAAGTTATGGGCTGGATACTCTTTGTATTAAAGTACCATAAAGGTACTCCACTGAGAGGATAAAAATATGGCACTTTGTAAACCAAGGTTTAAGGACTAAACACTCTGCAAACAAGCCTAAAAATAGACCATTTTGCAAAACAAAATTAGAGACGGGACATATTGCATACCATATTCTAAAGATGAAACACTTTACAGACCAAAAATAAGAGAAGGAACATATTGCAAATCATGTCCTAAAGGTGGGACACTTTACAAACCAAACATAGAGAAGGGACATGATGCAACTTAGATTCTAAGGATGTGACACAATGCAGGCCAAAGATTAGAGTCGGAACATATTGTTAACCAATTCCTAAAGCCGGAACAATTTGCAAACCAAAGATTAGAGACAGAAATATTGCAAACCAGATCATAAGGATAGAATACCTTGCGGACTAATTATACAGACAGGAGAATCATCAAAGCCGAAAAATAAGATACTTTGAAATAACTCCTTAATCCTGATACGTTATACGGCCCTTGATTTAAAAAGAAGTCACTATGCACAATAGACTTTTAAGATGAGACACGTTTTATTGGCATAAGTTCCAAACTAGCTTAAAGATGCATCGTTCTGTAGAAAATAAACAAACAAAAGTTCAAAGATTTTGATAGGCCTATATTTGGATAATCAGAATTTAAAGCGGGTCGGTTATAAGGTCAAAGTTCAAAGATCGTAAGGAGCGACCAGAGTTTAAATATCATAAAACTTTCTGCTGATAAAAGTTTAAAGGCCATGAAACATTTCTATAAATTCGAATTTAAAGATCATTAGGTACTTATCGCCCATTGTTTAAAAATCATATGACGATCTGCGGGCCAAATATTAAAGATCATAAGACATTCTGCCGACCAGAAAATTAAAGATCAGGAGACATTTCTATAAACTAGAGCTTAAAGACAATGAGACATTCTGCCGATCAGAGCTTAAAGTTCATGAGACGTTCTGCTAAGTAGTCATTCTGCAGACTAAAATTTATGAGCTGCGTTGAATTTCGCGATTTCAAAGGATTTATGCTACTAATTTATTACAGTATTGCATATTCAGTTTTGTCTGAACATTCAAGCATATCTATCAGCAAATATGAGTGGTGTATTAACTGAGTTTGTTCTATAAGACTGTATCAACACCTACTGGTTTTTTAAACAAATTCAAACATCCAAGTTTTTTGTATATGATTGCTTCTGTAAAATTTGGAAAACAGAGGTTATTTTGTCGTTATTGTTTATAATAACAATAATAGAAAGCACCAATTGATTTGGCTGTATCTACATATATTTCAGTTTTTGTTCCGTCTGATCACAGCGCCACCTACCTGCACTCGGACTTCTGGTAGATTCACTTTCATGGCCAGTTCTTCTCTGCTGTAAACATCAGGATAATGCGATTTCTCAAAGGCACGTTCAAGCTCGTGCAGTTGGTATGTTGTAAAAGTGGTCCTGTTCCTGCGATGTTTCTTTTTCGGACCTTCCTCATAAGCTGAAGTACTGGTATCAATGTCGTCCTCTAATCCATTATTGGCTACAATTGCCACTTCCGTAGACAGAGGGTTGTTGGGATAAACGTTTGGAACAGAGACCGGCGGTTCTTTAGGCTTGTCATCCGCACCTGGAAAGAGAGAAAACACGTTCTTAGTGTTGTAACAACTGTATACTGCGTAATTACCGAGAAGCACGGAAGCCGCTACTTCGTGCGTGTGTTTGTGTTTGTATTGTGGCCGACGGCACCGTAGCATAGGCCAAAGACGGAGGGTTTGTTATCGGCGAGTTATCCTGAATAGAATGCTTTTCTTTTGGTAACAAGATGGTACAGTAACACAAACTTGTTTCTTCAAACGTAGCCTTCATACAGCTGCCCGTGTACTAGCCCTCATTTCGAATAAACCAACCTATCACGACAAGGTTAACCGAGATTTTGGTATAAACCTTTTGAACCGTGCTTATGTTGTCTCAGTAGGAGGTAAAATTAGCGTAAGCGTCGCCTCGCGCATTCAGCATCCCTGAACAGTGTATTTACCGATTAGCTTTGCTAAAAGACCCGAATAAAGAGAACACAGCCGACAGTATATTGAAGGCCCCGGGCTCTATTTTTCTAACGCATTCACTGCGGATTGGACTAAGTGTTATTAACATGACAAGGCCTTTTTCAACTCCGAGCGTCTGTCTCGGACTTGGGAAGCAGTGCCTGTCACGAGAACTAGACAGGCTAATTTTAAGTAGCTGGTTCTCGGGTTTCAACATCCCGTGACAAGTCCATGGACATCATGCTTTTGTGACCGGTGTTTTGGAAATCCACACGAATTTGGTACGCTTCGCAACACACAAGCGAGTAGGACTAAACTAACAAGCCCTGTTCTATGTACACCGTCGGTGACAACAAAAGAACACCTTATAGACCTTACTATGTGGGCTAAGCTCCACTTACAGTATATAATACTTATACCGTTTTTTTTTTTTTTGTACAAAGCTCGCATCAAATATTGTCGAAAGCTTAGGAAAGAATTAAAGGGCTAAATGGCTCGTAAAAGCTACAACAGACAACTTTACCAGCTTTTCTTGTAAAAAAAACTACTCATCCGTTATATATATGTATATGTATAGACATATATAATTCTAAACACGCGATTAGACTTTCTTTTGGCCCTATATAAACAAGTCAACTATTTGTTTATTTTCCAGCTTCTATGTTTGTCAGAAGATGTTGACATACCTAGAACGCACTAGAACTCATAGTTTGATATCCAATAACCTTACATCATTGTGTCTGATTTACACAGACAACAGAAATTCTCCAGAGATTAAACGTCTACATTTAACAACCAACACTGTTTGTCAGTCTACAAGCTTGGTAAATACGGGAATTAGAGAGTGAAGAAAAAGTTTTGTGGTGTTTATTTTCGTGCAGCCAAGTTCCAGTTGAATTTGTGAAGGGATTATATACCTTCTAATTTACACTGTTATAATCGTATTAACCTGTGCTCGAATGTTTTCATGGAACTTTTTAGTGTGGAAGACTCATCGTGTAAACGAACTCACTTATACTGGTTTATATGAGAACAATGAAATAAATAAGTGGCTCGTATATATATATTGTCCTTCAACTGAATGTTACCCGAATTAGATGGATAACGATACGTGTAGAAATCCCACATATGTTTATCTTCATAATAGTTTAAATCTGTCCTGTTAAACCGTTTTTAACTAATATAAATAGTTGAATTGTTATATATAGAAGCTCGGGTATAACGTATTGATTCTTTATGGAGTGTATAATTTTATAGAAACTTCGTATAGTACAATTGCCTCGAATTACCTACTTAGAGAAAATAAAATTTGACGGAAAATTATGAAGTGATGTTAGTTAATTCGCTCTCATTGAGTAACGTTAAATCAAAGTAAAAACTTCCTTGACACAAATGATGTGGACGACACTTTAGTCTAGTAGTTTAGATGTAAAGAAGTCTAACATTCCATAATTCGCTCTCATTGAGTAACGTTAAATCAACGTAAAAACTTCCTTGACACAAATAATGTGGACGACACATTAGTCTAGTAGTTAAGATGTAAGGAAGTCTAACATTCCATAATTCGCTCTCATTGAGTAACGTTAAATCAACGTAAAAACTTCCTTGACACAAATGATGTGAACGACATTTTAGTCTAGAAGTTTAGATATAAAGACGCCTAACGTTCCATAATTCACTCTCATTGAGTAACGTTAAATCAACGTAAAAACTTCCTTGACACAAATGATGTGAACGACAATTTAGTCTAGTAGTTTAGATGTAAAGAAGTCTAACATTCTACGAGCAGTAAACACTCATTTCTGTGTGTGAGAGAAACGTAATTACAATAATGAGCACAATAATAATTTTTGAATGAATCCAATTTTATAATGCTCGAAGAATCTGAAATGCCAAAACAGTTTTGTTTACAGGTTGCAATACGGAATATTCCATTATATACATGGTGCAATGGATCCAACATATAACGA